TATGTAGTTGTGGTTTGTTGAGGGTACTTCTTGTAATATTATTTATGATATACCACATATTCTAGCCAAGCTCTTTTTTTTTTTGCTTCCTGAAAGTAGTATAGATATAAGGAAAGTTTTGTACATCCCTCTACAGGGTAAGGACTAGAATCCATTACAATCAAAAAGCCAAAATGCTAAAATGCCCAATAGCATTAATTACAATAGCGAAAGATTTCTCTCCAAAGAAAAAAAAAACATCAAGCCAAGAAGGGGATACAAAGGTTATATATGATTATAACCGATTCTCAGATGTTATACTATCCGTGATTTTGAAAGCTCCTAAGTTAGCTTGTTTTGGTACCAAAACCAATTTCCAAAAAGGGAACAATCCAAAAAGAGTAAGCAATCTGTCCGATTGGAACTTGAAGGAAAGCCATGCATGTGGTCTTGAGATAGCTCCAACCAAGTCATTTTTCTCTGCTGCAAAGATCACTTTGAAATATCCTAAGGTTAAAAGACTCTCAACTGCCCAACTGATACTTATAAAAGAATCTTCTTGTTTAGAGGACACATTCGCATAGGATCTTCTACCAAGGAGACAAACTTTTTCATTCTCATTTCTCACAACCCAAGCTGTCCCACTATCTCTGGAAGTCTTGTTCCAGGCAATCCCTATGTTACATTTGATCCATTTGGACTGGGAGGTCGCCACTGGTTTTTATGTTGCTGATCACCAATGAGATTAGTAGCCTCGAGAGCTCTCTCCACAGATTGAGCCATGAACCATTGGTTGGAGACTTCTATGATCTTATTGATGGTCTCCATTCCACAAAAGTTGGATCCTTCAAAAGATTAGTTGATTCTTGTTCTTCCAAAGCAACAATAGAATCCAGGGGAAAGCCTTTGCAGTCCGGTAAGATTTTAGGCATTTTGCAGGAAGATAAAACATAGAACAGGTTTGCATACACAGAGCCCTGATTAAAACCATCTTGAGAGAAGGAGAAAGAAGATAAGGCATATACCTGCCTAGCCATAGGTATGGTCATTTGACCAATTATAATTATTTTGTTTGTCATTCATGCTAATTTTCCTAAATTGTTTCGCTATTTAAATATTTAAATATTTTGTTATTTCGTCATTTCAGTATTCGTATAACATACCACTAGGTGACTCGTCCACGTCTCTCGCGGGTAAAATATTTATATTCTATTTTTTCATTTTTAAAATCGTGAAAATATGTGTTGGTTTTTATTTTTATTATAGATTTCATTGTCAATTTTTTTGTTGTTAATGATATGAATTTTCTGGAAAGTTTAGTTTACCATTTTATTATAGGTTAATTAGCTTAATATTAGTTTTGACATATTTAGGTAACTACCATGTGCTTAATGGGATTTAGGTATCTAGGAGAGAAAAGCAAAATCTGGACTAATTTGCCCTTACGAAGTTGGTTAAAAAAAGTAGTAAAAAACCATAATATGACCATCATTTTTAAAAGGAAAGTAGTAAAATCCCTTTAAAAAAAAATTCGACATCTCTAAATTTGTTATTTTTTTACAAAATCAATCACTTCGATCTCTGAAGGAAAAAAAAATCGAAATTGATCTTGACTGATGCAAATTAATCTTGATTCAATGATCTCATATGGTAGAATAGTTGACTATATTCCTACTTTCTGTATTGTTGTAGTTAGCTAAAATTCTAATAGTGATCTCAAATGGCTGTATAGTTGACTATATTCATACTTTTTATGTTGTTGTAGTGGGCGGATCTCGAAAGCAAGAAAAAGTTTGCATAGTTGACTATATTCTTACTTTCTATATTGTTGTAGTTAGCTAAAATTCATATTTTGTACAGTTGACTATATTCATACTTTCTGTGTTATTGTAGTTAGTTATTCAACTAATAATATAGTGAACTATATAATCTTTACAACAATTAATTCAATTGTAATAATATAGTTAACTATATAATATTTACAATTGCATAACTTTTAGTATATGTTTACCAAGATAGTTAACTAAATAACACTTATAATATAAATAGTTAACTAAAATAGTTCACTGGTTATATAGGAATAGTTCGCTATTTAATTATGTATAGTGATAAAAAAAATAGTTTACAATGTAAAACATTGCATTGATCTAGTTCGATAGTTATGCTTCGTAGTCAGCCATACCATTCACCTTGTTATTAGCAAAGTAGTAGACATTCACCTTGTTATTGATGGGCTCAAGACTAGAACGAAATAATCGCTTGAGTAATTTTGGAGATGT